ATAAAAACACTTCATAAAATAATAAATATTAATGCACAAGGAAGAAATAATATCATACAATAAATAATGCCTATGCAAAAGAATAGTATTGAAATTTAAGAATTAAAAAAAAAAAATTATATATAATTAATTAATTCAATTATGCTACATTTTTTAATGAACTTAGACAGCAAATTAACAAAAATCTTCAAGTTCGAACATAGAATCATGTACCACTTTGGGTCAGTTGGTTAAGGTGCGCTGACTCTGAGCTTTAAATTTGGCAGAGTACGACTTCAACCCTTGGTACTTGCAGTCTTAAAAAAATAAATATTTGAAAATAATTAAATATAAGACATAACTCCAATACCACTAATGGTGTAATAGTAATAAATATTTATATATATATATCTTTTAAATTTAATAATAACTGAATACTGTTTACCCATATTATCCAGAATTTATATATATTTCTATATATATAATCCAGAATTCATATGTTATATTGCATTGTTACTTACTAGTTGAAGCCATTTTAATAATCAATTAACTATACTCCTAATAATATGATAATTATTTTTATATACGATTAATAATATAAAAAAAATTATTTAAATTTAATATTCATCTTAAAGGTCGCTGTTACATCAATTATCATCAGTATTGGCATTATGTGCTGGATAATAACAATTGCACAATTTCGACTTAAATCAGGTGCTATAAAATATGATCCCGTTCCAACTACATTAGATCAATGTGAAGCTAAAAACTTAAATTTTATTCTTAACTCAATGTAAAATTATTTGTATAATTAAAAAGTGCTTTTCATATATTTATTTTAAAAAACTTTTACAGAGCTAAAAATGGCAATAACACCAAACAAATTGAAGATTTCGAAGTAACCCCAAATCCATTAGTAACAACTGCCTTCACAAGTAACAGAGATTTTTCCATATTTGAAATATCTTTCTTTTGGTATAAAGGTGAGTTCAAATCTAATAATTAAAAACAAATAATTAATGTTTTATAATTATATAAATTTTATATATATAGTTCTAGGTGGTTTAATTGTTTGGGTTGTGGCAATTCCTTTAAGCTACTTTTGGAAGAGAGATAAATATGAAAAAATTAATCCTAAACTGTTTACACCAATTGTACGTAAATTCATTAAATTCGACACTATAGAAATGGAAGAAATGCCTTTAAAATCTCCGATTCTAAATGGCGAAAATAATGCAACAATAATTATGAGCAACGCTAAAAATGGAGGCATCGATAAAACGCAGCATCAAAAACAAAATGGCGCCAATGGAGATGTCTAAAGCCGGCATCTACCTTCATCTCTTAATAAATCATACATCATAAAGTGATAGACGTCGTCACAATATCATGCCATAAATTTTGATTAATTTAAATATAGTTAAATTTATTAATATAATATAAGATTCTAGTGACAATAAATTTAATGTTTGTTACTAAACACGCTTTAATATTTTTTAAGTTAATTAATTAATGTTAATATTAAATTAACACTCGTATATAACAAGGCATTTAATTTATTTTTCACAAACGTAATTATATGATGCTATATAAACATGTTATATGAATATATATGAAAAACAAAATTATTCAATTTGCGAATAACATAAACAATAGTCTTAGAAAATAATATTAAATGAGTATTTCTTTTATTTTTCAAAATCAATAAAAGAAATTTTTTTAAAAAGAATTTAACTAATTATTTTTTTTTATTAAAATATAATAAAATCATAAGTACTTCACAGTAATAAGAATCAGAGGCATCACCGCGGAATTTAACAAAAACCAATATACAACAAACACCAAAATGACGTCAGCCTAGAGGTTCAACGAGAAATCACTCTTGCGAACAGATGTTACTTCGGACTACATAGGCAATTGAAAAATAAAGCTCTCAACAAACAAAAATCACATTCTACAAATCTACAACTCTATTCTACAATTACCAACAGTGATGAGAAGGCGTTAGGAACATTCAAGAGAAAAATTCTTCTGAAGATTTATGATCCCTTACACGCTAGCGACGAGTTTTGAACGATGAGCTGTATGGGCTATACCGCCACATTGACATAGCTAAGCGCATACAAAATCAGTGATTTATGATCCCTTACACGGTAGCGACGAGTTTTGAACGATGAGCTGTATGGGCTATACCGCCACATTGACATAGCTAAGCGCATACAAATTCAGTGGTTTCGCTGACTTGGTAATGTCGTGCGAATGGAAGAAAGTGCTCCGGTTAGAAAGGCGTTTGATTCGGTACCCGCAGGTGGAAAACGCGATAGAGAACACTTTACTAAATTGTCGATCACATTTGAATAGTCCTATTTTAAAGTGCTACCTTTCAGTTCGAAAATTTCATGTTTAAATAGGAAGTTAATAGGAAATATTCTAATTACTCAAATATAATATTAATACGTCACTCAATGTGGTCAAGTACGACTCACGTCTGTAATGGCCAACTAAGTAAGTAAAGGAAGTAATATTAACTCTAGTATAATTGACAAATAAATGTGACAAATTGTTGCAGTAGTGCCATGATCAGTCCAACTTTACTTGGCACAAATTTTTTTTAACTCGTTCTCACAATATTTATGAGCTGAAAAGCTCATCGTCCCTCTTCGATGTATGGTAGAATTTCTCATCAGCTACTTTGAAATGAAGTAAATAACCTTTTAATGCGTTTAAAATCAACGTTACTATCTTCAAATTTTATCAATCAAAAGCAGAGTATTTTTTTTTAATAATTAAACCAATACAAGAAGAGATCATATAATACAAAGTCTAGTGATGCTCCTACAAGAGATTCATAGACAAACTTCAGATAAGAAATCTGCTGTGAAATTCGGCTCCATTAATACTACAGCAATAATGATATTATAACAGCACGTGTATATATAACATCTCTATGATATATAAGATAAGAATTTTTTTGTATGAAATCATAATTTTAATAAAAAAAATCGTTTAGTATTTAAGTTAAATCAAAAATGATTTTACTTGAGTATAATTAATGCGTTCGAAGAACACATAGTAAATTAAAATCAAAAATTAAAATTTGGGTAATCGGAATAAATTTTAGAGAACTGTAATCAAATTAAAGATTTGTTAGATTAACGAACTTAAAAAATTATTTAAAAAACAAAATCAAGATTTAAAAAAAAATACGTTAAGTTTTTTAAATGAAAATATAGTTTCTTTAAATATTCAAAATGTCAAGTACGACCGAAAATATTGTGCATGTGTCAGTGACGACCGTAAAAAATATTACCTTTGGAACCACCGATTATGTCGTTTTTGTGTTATTGTTGTGCGTTTCTGCTGGTATTGGCGTATATTTCGGTTTCTTTTCGAAAGCTAAAAACACCACCGATGAATATCTGATGGGTGGAAAAAGAATGAAAACTGTACCAATCGCTATATCCTTAGTAGCAAGGTTTGTTTTTTTATATATATCTATTCTACCTATGTATCTGTCTTTTGATGTGTAAACTAATATTTCAGTTTCTTGATTTTCTGCTTTTTCTAAATTAAAATATTACAAAAGGAAATAAAAGTTATAAATAAAATTAGTTTTTCAGTAAAACATTTTTATGAAAAATTTAATATTTATATACAGATTTAAATCACTATAACAAAAATTGATGTATGGTTACATTATTTTACTATAACAAGTGCAGAGTTTTTTTTTTTTTTATTTTTAAAACCCTAAAAGATTATCTGCCTTAATATAAATAAATTGAATAACATAAGCTATAATTTATTAGTTTGTAGTTTTAATAATTTACTGTATTTTATTATTAACAAATTACAAAAAGCAAATTAAATTTCACTGAAACGGAACGATAATATTCATAGTTTAGTTAAAATCAAAAGGTGCAGCTTGTTTTTGGTTAATGTGATCTTACTTTTGTTTTCAACAATCTCAAATATTAAATTAAAATACTAAAAAATGACATAATTAACCGATCTGATTAAATGGTATCATCGCTATTCGATATCAAATGGCAAAACAACATCATTTAAACATTTAATCATTTGGACTAAAAAATATCACCGACTGGATTAATGACAAAACTTCAAATATATTCGAAGTTTTAAGTAAATTTTATTCAAACTATTAGGTACCTTTTTAAAATATATTTATTCCAATAATTGATTTGTTTTCTAAAACCCAAGATTTTTTTTTAAAAACATTATTTTTTAAATATGTTTTTTATATACTATCCTGTAAAGTAAGAATCACGGTTTTATTACACTGAAATAGCCAAAGCTTAAGAAATTATTATTATTTTAAAATATTACTTTTTATTAAATTTATAGAACTTTTTAACATTTATGATGTGAATTAAGTGCAATAAAATAATAATTGCTTCACTAAACAAAAATTTACATTAAACTTAACTATTACGGGCTTTGTCATTTACAACAATAACGTTAACTGTCAAATTAAAGACAGAGTTGTTTTATTGAGCTTTATGTTACCACAAATTTTCTGTCAAATCGACAGAAATAGAGTCATGGTTTCCGGATAATATGTATATTATAAAAAATTGTATATTATAAAAGATAAAAAAGAATGATAAAAAACTTGTAGCCTTGGCTGCTTTTAGAAAAACACTATTAGTCATCTCTTCTACTTTGACAGGCATAAGTTCTAAGCCTGGCACTTATAGTCTAAACAAATTATATACGAACTATAAACTAATTAATAAAATTCGAATATCTCCAAAGACTACTGATGATGGCAATACTCGAAACAGCGTTGTATGATCAGTTCAATAAAATAACTAAAATTTTCGTTGTTATCTTTTTATTTCTATTCTAACTTCTATTCAGTCACTTTCATCAAAAAAATTAACATATAATATTTTACATTTACATTTTACGTATTTATTTTTTATAATTTATAATTATATTAAGTATAAATATTTATAAATAATATAAAAATTTGTTTGTATACTTATAGTCAGTTATCCGGTATATCTATTATGTCAATACCTGCGGAAACATACTCATATGGTAATAAGCTTCTTTTATATGTAAATATTATATATAAATTTATATCACTTGTACTATATTTGCTTACAGGATATTGTTATCTGTGATATATGATTATTGTAATTATTGAGTATAGTATATACATATATGTATATATATACAACATATATAAATGTATACGTATATATTTTTAAAAAATCAACCGTGAAATTGATTTTACTATTTGTTTTCTTTTTATTAAATGTGCTTTGGTTCTAATATCTCCTTTTTGTTTTTTAATATACTGTAAAAAATAATTATAATTCTATGGTAAAACTTAATTTGGATAGTTTAATATAGATTAATTGTTCTTTAATTGTTGTTTACTTTTTAGAAATAGTTGTCATAGATAAAATACAAGTTTACAATACGCGTGGACACATTCAAAAAGAATTCAAATCTTAACAAGAAAACAAAGAAGATAAACAAAAACATAATAATTAAACTGATTTTAATTTACCTTTGTTATTAACATATAGATTTATTCTAATAAACTTTATTTTTTTATACTGCGTTAGTTGTCAATCATTAGAGTTATTGCAATTTAACTGTAAATACATTAAATCAATAAATGCATAATAGATATTACAAGTTATTTAGTTTTTGTATTAATATTAGTATTTATTTCAATTTATATACTTTAAAAAAATCATTTTATGTTGAAGGTATCCACTATTTTATTGCGGTATTATCAATGATTATTGTTGTTCCAATATTGTGCTATATTATCATTCCGGTGTTTTATGAAAATAATATATCCAACTGTTATGAGGTAAATAACTTAGAAATAAATAAGATTCATTCAAAAATTATATAAATTCTATTTTAATATTCAGTATCTTGAAATGCGATTCAACAAGCACGTGCGTCAATTGATAACAATATCGTTTATTTTTCATTCTGCACTGATGCTTCCAGTCTACATGTTTGTTCCATCATTGGCTTTCTCCCAAGGTATGCTAAATATCAAATTATTATTATTAAAATAAAATCCAAAATTTTCTAATTTATAATAACCGTATATAAGTAAGTATTAATATTAAACTTAAGTAGAATTTAAATTTTTTATAATTTTTTTTAATTAAAGTATATTTTTGGAAGTAAATAATTCGTTTTTTGCCCTAAGCGTAATATAGCGCATCAGACAGCCGCGTAGATAGTTCTGTTTGTGTCTGTTCCAGAGAGATGCGCACCTGAGACAAATATTTACATTAGTTTAAAAAAATATACATAATCAATTTTAGAAATCAAGTTAGCAGCTAAAGCTTCTTTCATTAAGAAAAAATGCTCTATATTTGGGTTTATTAATTACACATAATTTAAATAAATAATCACTTTTCGCTGATAACAAAATTTACTCCTTTCAGTTACGGGCATCAACATTCACGTTATAAATACTATAATCTCTTCGATTTGTGTTTTCTACACAATGTTGGTAAGCAAAAATCATATAAATATATTTGTTGAAATAAATTTTAAATATATATAAGAGAATGTAATTGTGTATGTTAGTTTAAGAACGGATTTTTATCACCTGTCTTGTTTTTAATAGCGGTAGACATAATAACCTTTCACATTCTATTAAATATGTATTAGTACTATTGTCGTCAGAGAAAATTAAACACTTTCAGGTAGCTCTTATATCTGACAGATCTGTGAAAGCAGGCTTTTTGCGTATATACTGAATGATATCATGTGAGGTTATTCTGAATTATTTAGAAACGTTAATGTCAAAAAATGGACCGGAAATTGTCTGACGAGGTGCATATATTGGCGTTGTTTGTTTATTTCGAAAAAAGTCGTCATTGATATATTAATTTTAAAATTTTGCAAGTACATACATTGTAGTATCTCTAATAAAAAAACAGATCCACCTGCAATGTTATACTGAATAGGTTTTTGAAAGTTCTACTCAATCTTATCTGTATAAAAATTTAAATTAGGTGTTAAATATTTATATTTTAACTCGTATTAGGGAATGCTATTTGTTACTGACATATTTATTATTGAAAATACATATTATTAATATTATTAATACCAAAAATATATATTTAAATATTGTAAAACAAAAATATTAATCAATTTGGAAGTAATAACAATATATATTTATTTAAAATTTATAGGGCGGCATTAAAGCTGTCGTGTGGACTGACGTTGTACAAGCTTTAGTAATGGTATTCTCAGTAAGTTTAGTTGGTATTTTGGGCACACTTAAAATAGGTGGTCTCGGTAATGTGATGCAAAATGCACTTGAGGGTGGACGCCTTAATTTTGAGTAAGTTTTCCAAGTACACTCATTAATAATAATAGTAATAAATTTGTACATTTTTGTATGATAAATAATTTTGATTTAAAAAACTAACATAAAACAATAAAACAGTAAAAAAATTTTTCGTTTATTTGGTACATACTTATGAGTTATAATAAATCTAAATTAAAAATATTAAAATATATTTATTTTATTCTGATTAAAAAATATAAAAAAAACTATGCAAAATAAAACTATCATATTATATTTTTGTAGTTTCACCTGGGATCCACGTGTACGCG